CCAGACCTCTGGAGGATAGAATTAGCTTTTTTTTTTTTACACAATTATTTAACTAACATCTATTAAGGAAGCATCTTCCATGTTAAGTTTTGAATTATTCCTGTTAATAATAAGTTAGACTTTGAAGTTTAAAAGAGGCCATGCTTAGAAATCAGATTTCCAAACAGGACTTGTTCTTATAACCAGCAGCTCTCTAACTTCCGTCTTTCCATGTTAGCCTCACCTTGACGTTCTCTCCTCCTGGAGAACTGCTCACGTTGTCCTGCGACCCGACTTTGGCCTGAGTATCTTCTCTAAAGTTCACTTTGTGGGATTCGTTCTTCGTGGCGCCTCCACCTGCATCACGAAAGAACAATCAGCCTGATAATCTCACCTTTAATACTAAAGTAGCCACATGCTTAATACCTGAATCTATTACAAAAAAAGGTACATTCAGACAGAACGCGAAAGCTGCAAGTTTTTGCTTGTCGTTGGTCACTTGATATTCTGCCTTTCTCTTGCTTGGAGTTCGTTCAGATATTGTGGCGAACTTTCTCCCAGCTCACTCCTTCAGCATCTATCTGCTTGCTAGTTCATCTCTGTTAACCTGATCTTGATTTTAATTTTAAAGAGTGAATCACAGCTCTGTATGTGACCTGGAAAGCCAAACAACAGCACAGGAGACGGGATCCTTAGATTAACCAAACCAGCTTCCAGTGTGCTACCACCAACATGTGCACCTGGACCCGTGACCGGATGAAAACTTCCAGGTTTCTGTCCAGCATCCAGAGCTGATGAACCACAGCAGGGGGACTGATCAACCTCAGGAGATTAGAGAAATATCTGTTCCTCTGTTGTGCTCCTTCAGCCTTAATCACCACCACATCTGGTGGGTAATTGGTAAAGGTTACGCCAATTGTCAGAGGTTCCAGTTTTTTTAACTGCTGTGCTCTATCTGCACATCCACACCTACTTATAGCTCCGCTTTACATGTATTTATCTCTCCCCGTTGTCAACCTTTACCCTGAAATCCCACATCCTCCCTAACCGCCCTGCTCCATTCCTGCGCAAACTAACGCCTACAGCCTCTGCTGTTCCTCCCATCTGGTTCTGCTCTGACTTCCTTAGAGCTTCAGGAGAGCATGAGGGATATTTAATTTATAGGAACACAATAGAAGGTAATGAACGCTTAATTCAATATGATGTAATAAAAAAATTCCCATTAGCATTCATCATGTGCAGTTTCTGCCCAAAAATTTTCTTTTCATTGTGGATTGTGTAATAATGATAACTAGGATCATACAAAATTGGTTTGTTCTCCTTCAAAAATCCGCCTCTCTGCAAAACCACTCGCCTTCTTGCAATCCAGCTTTGCGTAATCAGTCTGTCAAACGCAGCTACTCCAGAGTTCCTTCGCTTTATCGTCACATTTATTGTGCCGACTCACAGCGTAACTTTATCACACTGGAAAAATCGAAATCTAGATAAGTCATTTTTTCTTAAAATAAGTGCATTTGTTCTTGGGTTGAGGAGGTAAAAGCGACATTTTGCCAATGGAGCAAGACAATTTACACTAGAAATAAGAAAACACAATTGCATTGTTTTATTTGAAGTGCATATTATCTGATTATCTTATTATAAGAGTAAACATTGGCAAACTATCTAATTTACCTGCTCCAATTAAAGGTAAATACACTTAATTTCAGAAATTTTTACTTATTTCTACATTATTTTCCCAGTGCAGTTGGTCCACCGTGTCCACTAACAGTGACACTTTGCTATAATCTACATTATTCACCATTCTTATCAATCAAAATGGATTTTTCATAGGTTTAACACAGAAATCCCTCAATCCAGTCTCTGCATTCGGTGTTAATGTACCTTAGCAGCTCATCTTTGTTTCGTGCAATTATATGAATAAAGGAAACAAATTCTCATCAAACTAGGAGCCGTCTTATTAATATCCTTTAAAGATTGCTTTTTTTAACCTAAATCAATTTTCAGGAGTATATATTCTGAGCTACAGAGAGTCTGGTGTTTCTTCTGTGAACTAACGGATCAGAGCAGGCGTCGGCTCACCAGGTTTGTGCTTAATGTTGTCCTTGGAGCCGCACTTTGAAGTCACCTTACTTACATCCACCTTCTTGTTGAGAATCTGCACCTGTTAAATTGGAAATAAAGATTAATTTTTTAGTTCAATCTTTATTCTGAAAGCACATTTGAATGTAATTCTTCCTCATCTTAAAAAGAAAAAACAAGGGTTTTACTTTTTACACCACGGTCAATGGTACAGTTACAAAAAGTTGTAAAAACTTTAACATTCTTTTAATTAGAAGCCAGACCGAAGTTCCTAAAGGAACAGAGTTTCATAGCTGCAAAAACAGTAAAGCAGCAAAGCCCCACTTTACTGATAACTGCTGGTCAGCTAGCTGAAAGAAGGCTACTAAACAAAGTTTAAAAGAGAT